TCTTTAACTTCTTGCAATGTGAAAGGCTTAATTAACACATCAACCTGATCTAAATTTAATCTCTTAAACACCAATCCATTTAACACTGGGCGATGCTACTGAGATTCTGAAAACTGTTTATCAAAATGCTCTTTTACATATTGTTTAATAAGGGCAAGTTCTGAAATTTTGCAGCCCCTAAAATTTAAGCATCTGATTACGTTTAACTTCAATCTTTTATTAATGCACCCGTGAAAGTACTTGGTGTTTGCATCCCCTTCTTGAAGCCACTTCAGCCTTGACTTTTGGAACAAGAGAGTATCCTTCTTTTGCATTAACATTTGCCACTGTGCCATATATTCCTTCCTTTGTACCACTTCAGAGGGTGATAAGCCAGACTCTTCATCTTTAATATCACATTGTTTTATCCCATCTTTAACTTTTGAAATCTTTAGATTTAGATCACCGAACACTTCCTTATTCCAGATTTTAAGCTTACTCCTTATTGTCTTCAACTTTTCCTTTAGAACAAAGCTCGCCCAACCTGCAACTTTGCCCACTCTTTTCTAACAAAATATGCATAACCAGGCTCATGACGCCAGCTGTTCAGGAATCTAAAAGGCTTAGGGCCCCAATTAACATCCTCTGATTTTAACACTATTGCACAATAATCTGAGACTCCTCTATTTAATGCCCATAAACATGCGTTGCTCCACTGATCAAGCCAGCCAGTTGTTACCAAGCACCGATCTAACCGACTCTTGCATGAACCATCAGGCCTATACCATGTAAACTTTCTCCCAAGCAAAGGCATATCTATTAGAGACAAATTATCAATAAAATCAACAAAGCATTCAATCTCCTCTCTTCTTAGAATAACTGATGTACCTTTTCTCTCATCTGCATGCTTGATAGAGTTAAAGTCACCAATAAAACACCACTTCCCATCTCCTCTAGATTGCTTCAAGCTTTGCAACTTACCCCAAAGATGTTTCTTCAGCTCATGAGAGCATGAAGCGTAAACATTTACAACCCAACAATCTACATTTTCCTCACCCCACTGTCCAAACACAACAATAAAGTTAGAATCAACAATAGTTGTCTGAACTTTGAACATAGAAGATCTCCACATTGTTAAGAGTCCACCGGACCTCCCCACAGAAGAGTTGAATGCCCAATCAAAATTATTATCATCCCACAGAGAGCCACACAATTTTCTGTCAATCTCTTGCATTTTAGTTTCCTGGACACATAACACCTCTGGCTTCTTTGATTTGATTAGATTAGCCAATTCCACCTTTTTCAATCTCCCCCCAATCCCCCTTATTTCAAGATAATATTCGCATAAAAATAGACCACACTAACACCCCCACCTACTAGACACGCCTCTGATAATTACCCCCTAATCTCCCCCTCCACACCCCCTCCTTGGTTCAAAAAACGCTCCCTATCACACTCTTCCATCACAACTAGTTTTTGCACTATTTCTGTTTCATTATCAAAATGCTCCATCCCCAACTCCCTACCCAGATCCCAAATTTTATGTGCAACCTCTTGTGGGCTAAAGACATTCAAATGCGGAGGCATACAGTTAGATACAGGTTGAGAAATTGCCAACCTTGCAGATCGTTGAACTTGTTTCCTTGGCCTTCCCCTTTTTTTCTTCACTTTGAGACTATTCAAACCACCAGCTAGATCCAGCTGGAAGGCATCCTCCACTTGAGTAATAGGAACTTCACATAAATTTTCCTCTTCAGACTCCAGTTGGCCAGACGCAGGTGTAAGAGGCTCAAAATCGCGATGCAATCGCAAACTGTGATTGTCCTCCGCTGGATAATGATTGTGTTGTAAATTTGAGCACGCTAAATCTACTGCCCGTAAGCAGTGATCTGGCTTTGTTAAGCTACTTTGTGATCCACTCGTACTGGGCTTAGAACGAAAATTCACGTTGAGGCATTCTTCAAATGGGCCAACTATGTAACCACCCACAACAAGGCCCAGTTTAGTAGCACATAGAGAAGGCCGGTGATAAACACACCTCCACTCTCATATAAACACACCCCCTTTTTAAAAAAAAAAAATATAAAATGTCTAAATTACCCTTTAAAAAAAATGAAATTCTTAAATTTACACCTCCCTTCCCCCACCCTCCTTCCCCGCACCCCACATTTCACACCCCTCTTCTTCCCAAAGCCTCTTTCCGCTCAATGTTATTAAGCAATATACTTTTACAGTCATTCTGAATAGAAAAAAAGGACTAGTCCCACCATAATCAGCATAAGAAAGGTTCTTTTACAGTCATAGCATTTCGAAAAGTACTTTTACAGTCATTAGCATTCCGGAAAGTACTTTTCGGAATAGAAATTATTGTTCATATAATTCCGGAAAGAACTTTCCGTAATAGTAACTTTAATATTATGGAAAATACTTTCCGGAATTATATAACAAAATATTTCCGGAAAATACTTTCCGGAATAAGAATTTAATATTATGGAAAGTATTTTCCGGAACATTTTTATATAATTCCGGAAAGAACTTTTCGTAACAGTAAGAAGAAGAAGAAGAGGAGTGCCAGAAAGAGAAAGAAGAGGGGTGCGCAATGTCGGCAAGTGATTTTGTATGAGAAAGACTCTTACTTGTTCTATGAAAAGAAAGATTAGTACAAAAATAACTTTTAAAATCGGGGTTTTAAAATCAGTCATAAGGTAGCCATTTTAAAAGTGACGCGGTGGCCTGTACTGCAACAGAACGGCCCCAGAACGGCCCGTGCTGCAAGCAGAACGGCTTGTACTGCTTGCAGAACGGGCCGTACTGATTGAAGAACGTGACGTACTGCTTGCAGAACGGGGCGTACTAAAAACAGTATGGACCGTTTTGCTGCAGAACGGCCAGCACTGAAAACAGAACGGGCCGTATTGAAAGAAGTACGGGCCGTTCTGCTTGCAGTACGGGCCGTTCTGCTTGCAGTAGGGCCCGTTCTGCTTACAGTACGGCCCGTTCTGCTTGCGGGGAAGGGGGTGCGAGGAAGGAGGGGTGTAAATTTAGGAATTTTTTTTTTTTTAGGGTAATTTAGACATTTTATATATATTTTTTTTAAAAGGGGGTGTGCTTATAAGAGAGTGGAGGTGTGTTTATCATGAGCCCGAGAAATATCTTCTTCAAATGACCCAGCTTCATAGTTCGTCACTTTATTGGATGCCAAACCCAACTCACCATGACTTTCCGTACAACTAGCCATCTCACATTGGACTGCTACTTGGGCCTCTATCTCCTTATTAAAAACACGGGCTTGTACTGGCTGGCCTAATATAGGACTTATGTTGCTTACTTTAGCTCCCCCAACACCTTCATTAACTAACGCATTTTCCTCACCTCCAAGACCGTTACTTTTAGCCATGATTCCCTCCTCCATAGACGCCGCATTAACAAAAGAATGAATTCCTTCTTCCATTACCTTATTTTTCTGCCCCCAATATCCGCATCGACAACAAATTGATCACCTTGGTCCTTATCCAAACCCTTTCCCACATCACCAAATAGTCCACCCTCATTATTCACCAAAACTCCCTCAAAATCATCACAATTATCGCCACATAATCTTCCTCCACTACGTCCAATTTCAAATTCAAATATATTAGAATCGAAATCAGATGACAAATTATCGGAAGACGTAAATTCTGAATCATAAGAATCTGTTGTCGCACCATTGTCTTTTACACCTCTAACACCAAAGTGCAATCTCCATGGAATGGAAAAAGGTTCCTCAACAATTCTAATGGAAAATAAATCACCACTAATCTTGACTTTGAACAATCTATTGATTACCTCCCAGTAGGTCGTATGAATTAACACTCGAGCAACATCAAATCTTTGCTTTTGTTTTGTTGAATTGTCCACAGAAACATACCTCCCTACTTGACTAACAATCATCTCAAAGAATGCCTTTTTCCATGCATGTACGGGAATACCTTGGCATCTCACCCATGTATACCTCTTCTTTGGAATAAAACTAGGTGACCAAGGAATAATTTCATCAAACCACATAGTAAAGAGGTCTTCTGCATCCTTGGTTAACACCTCAAAGTCCTCTTCTTCCGAAACATTAATAAGGACTAAATCATCACCCATCAAAGTCAGCTTTATTGATAAAATACCTTCAGCCATTATCTTATCTTGTAACAGACTTATTTCATCAACTTGCTTCACTTTCCCCACATAACATTTTTCCAGCCAAGCCATTTCTTCATCTTCAACAAGAAACTCCAATCCATTCCAACTTGTTTCATTATTTTCCTCCCCATTTTTTTTCACTGGCTTCCACATCTTGTGCACCTTGCCTTTCACTGCTTCAGAATATGAAAAACCATTCCTCACATAATTTGATCGTACCATACCATAACCCTCTCCTCTTGTCCTCGTTTCGATTTGTTTATCCCAGCCTTTACCCTCTTGTGCTTTTGGAACCTGTGTCTTCTCATCAATGTCTATTTGCATGCCAATGCATTATTTTTAAAAATTATATTTTGACCTATTGTGGAATAGCATGTGAAACGTACTTTTTAAAAATAAAAAAATATATTAAAAACATCTGATCGAGAGAGTTAAAAATCAATTTTTAATTATCATAAAATTAAAAATTGATTTCATGTTAGGCCTCATTTGAAGGTGCGATCAAGAATAATTAACTGGTTAATTGCTGAATAAAATAGAGTTATCCTTGTAACTTTTCCTAGACACACTCACTCTTATGTGAGCATATAAAAATAATTACGTACATATGCAATTATTATAATATATTGTATTGACGTCACTTCGACGACATAGAATGATATATATATAGTATATATGTAATACATTATTATGTGTAGTGGTTTTGCTAATTTCCAATTGCATAAAATCATAGAGGGAACTCCCCTGTATACTTGAATCAACGAAACTTAGCTAAATATTTTTCAATTAAATAATTTGAGATTATTTCACTTGTTTTTGCTGATGGGTGGAAGGCATCCCAAAATACATACTTATTTGCATCTTTGCATGTAAATGGGCTTTTTGGATCGCACATGAAGCCCATCTCAAATCTCCCTGTTCCACAGCATCCCCTTCCTGCCACTTCAAAACCTGCAAATTCAAAAAACAATTAATCGAGAGACATAAAACTAATTTTTTTTATAAAAAAAAAAAAAAAAAAAAGTATGTTGAGTTTTGTTTTTGGGCTAAATTATAAGTTTTTTTTTATCAGCATAGATGCTTTTTTATTTTATAAAAACTAACAAGAAATGTTTTTAGTGGGCTTAAAACAAAAATTTTAGTAACCTTATTTTTCTACCAGCTATCCAATTAATTTGTATAGTGATTGATAGAGGACTCACAGTTTAATCTTTGAATTTTTTTTATGACTAAAATGGTAGATAATGGATGACATTCTATGACTATCAAACAAGAAAGTTATAACATATTAGGAATCCTCATACCAAGTATTATTATCTAGTTAATAATTAATTGAAACTTAATAATATTTGGTTTGACTCAAGACTTTACATGTTAAATTGAAGATTAACAAAGATTCATTAGAGAAATTTTACATTGGATACTTAGAGATTTCTTTAATTATATCCACCAAAATAAGATTTTATAGAATTAAATTCTCTAAAGTGAAAAACTTATGTTAAAATCAAATTAAATAATCTAACATAATTCCCATTAATTAATATATACCATAATATTTCCTAAATCATTGTGGAACCCCAATTTCCCTTATAACCAGGTCATTTTTTTATTTTATTTTAATTTACTAATTTGCAATGGTGGCATGTAAATCATTCACCTTTAATATAAAAGAGTTGATATCTAAAGATATAATATATTTGTTATCAATTGGTTATCTTACATCACCAAAACCTATATATAGTAAATAACACAAGAATTTTTAAATTATAAATGAATAAAACTTAAATACAGTTCCTTATATAGTTAGTATTGTTTTTTAATCATAATTAAAATTTTATTTTAATAATATACATAAATTTATGTTAATAAATTCCACATTAATTACAAGTGAATATTATCTAATTCTAATTGTGGCTAAATTTCGTCCATTAAAAATTGCATTCCACTTATTACTGCTAGAAATTAAAGAGATGACACAATGACCAATTAATGGTCATTATTATAGACTCACCAAAACGAGAAGGTTGGGTAATGATTTGCAACATGATATCATATGCATTTGCATCCACCAATTGAAGGCCAGGGAGGTCCTTGTTGAGCTTAGTGACTAACCACCCCAACTTTCCATTGAACTCCAAAGCCACATTATTGTACCATTCAACACAATCATGGTACTCCAAAACGTTAATTGCTCTCTCAAGTGGGAGACACCCCATAGGAGGCAACCCTGTGAGGGAAATTTTCCTTGCCCCGAGGCCATAAATTTCCTTAAAGAAGTTTTCAGCAAGTCCAATGAGGAAGTCCTCGTATTCTTCAACAGTTTTGAACTCACACCTTCGTTCAGGCAGCACGTAGTAGTTCTCAAGAAAGTCGTTGGTTCCAATGCTGACCAAATACAATGCCTCTCTTAATCTTTCATTGGCCTTTTCATCACCAAGATATGACCTAAGTTTCTCTTGGTACTCCTTGTAGTACTCAACTTCTTTCCATAGAGGTATCACGTCCTACAGAATTCAAATTCATTTCCATGTGCATGAAGGAGAATAATTTTTACCTCAACAACTTGGCAATTTATAGCTAAAGTAATTAAGTTAAAGAAAAAGTATATTGCAGATATATGTGACTAAATAGTATATTTTAGCTCTTCACACGCGCGCACACGTGTATATATTAATTATATATATTTATTGTGGATATAGTGGGTGAGGAAGGCACAAGGGTAAAAAACAATGTAGCTATTAGCTAAAAATGATGATAAAACGAAATTTGAGAGACTATGTTATGTTTGGTTGGCGTATATGCGCGTTGATTAGCTTCATGGTACTCTCCAATTTTAAATATAAGGAAAAAAAATCATTAATGCTAATTAAAAAGTTGTTTACATTATTTAATTTTATTCATTTTTCCAAAAAAACTAATTTATTTTCTTAAAGTATCTTTCTTCAAATTTGATATTAAGAATAAAAAAAAAGACATTAGAAATATAATCTTATGAAAGAGTATTTTATATATAACAACATTAAATATAATGACATAAGTTGAAATTTACTTACATTTAAAATCAACAAGTATGAGATTTCATTTTTAATAAAACTTACATAAATTTTTTTAAGTGTAATTAGTATTGTTCTCCAATCTAAATTAGATATTTTTCTCGATAATATATATTTGTTTCTAATATAGATTTCATTAATATATATCTACACTCATTATCAAAATAAATCTCCAAATTATAATTAAACAACAATACTAACTACAGATAAAAAAAAACTATTATTAAGTTTTATCCAAAAAAAATTTCTTGCGAACCGGATAACCAATATAGGACTGCTTCAAAAAAGCTCCTTTACAAGAGTAATCAATTGGATGAGTTGGATCATGTGAAATAAAAGGGTGATGTAGCCAACAACAAGTTTTAGAAAATGATAGCAAGATAATATCACAACAAGTACATTTAAGTGAGCAAGTAAATCACGTCTTGGACTTGTTTAACTCAAAACAGTTACCAAAAAGGTGAGTTTTGTCCTTTTTTTTTATTAGCGAGTTTTGTCTTTTTTGAGAAACTATTTCCTCGTCTATATTTTTCAAATAATTATAAAAATATCCTTTTATTAAAGTACATTCAAAGTTTCAGATAGTTAAAACAAGAGAACAAATATAGGTGTATATTCATAGGTTATGTCCAAAAATAAAATCTTGAAGATTTAGATTCAAAATGAATAATGTGGAGACATGTACATGCAAATCCTCATGTGTCCAACATATATATATTTTGCAAAATATTATTTTTCAAAATTTCTTTATAAAAATCTTTAAAAACAAATAAAAACCGTCATTTATACTGTATGTAGCCTGTAAAATTAGGCAATCCAAAATAAAACCTCAAACCAATCCCAATGTCCATCCAAACTTATAACATACATAAAAAAAATAAAAAAGGAGTTATGATTTTTTGTATTTAGATGAAAAATAATAATAATGATAATAATAATAATAATAAGAATGCATCAAAGAAAAAACTTACAGCAACTTTAGCAGTAGCATTATCGAATCCAGTTCCAGCAGAAGCAAAGCAGACCCCAGTGGCGAAATCCGATATGTTATAAGCTGGATCCAAGTAAGCAGGAATAGCTTTCTTCAGTCCAAATGCCTCAGAGATGTAATCAGGTGCGATGCGTCCATTGGAGAACCGCCCAGTAGGGTTTCCTCCCATGAAGTCCCTTCCATAGGGCGCAAAGTTGCTCCTCGCCATCGTTGGAATGAAGTTGTTGTTCCCTGAGTCCACCGACGAGTCTCCGAACACTATTATCGCAGGCACCTTGCTTCCAGTGCTGCACCACCACATGCATAAACATTGTACCAACGTTATTTCAACTGCTACAACCATGCTCATGTTCATGAACTCGAACCCTTTTCTTCCCATTCTTGTTCTTTTCTGCCAATTGGGACGTCTAGCTAGGGGTGTGATGATGGGTGCTATTTATGGGAGAAGGTGTTGTGTTTGTTCGATCACTTAATTTGCACTTGGCTCGTACGTGTTGCTGATGGAGATGTACATGTGAATTAATTAGGTGGCAGCTGCTTTGGCCATTATATATGGATACTTGTGATGCATGCTATACTTTCTACTTTCTACCTTTGTAACCTGCAACCATGATTGAGTGTGAGAAGGAAGATCTAGTGTTGTGTTACGTTATTGCTTTCCATTTAAAGATAAAAAAACAAATATCATGCCATGTGTTTTTCACTTTGTGATAGAATAATATGTGTTTGTTTACATTGAAAGGTTGAAGTATAGTTTTACTTGGTTTTTCTTTTACTTTTAATGGTGTAAGATAGAATATCGTTGTTTTTTTTTTTTGAATTAATATGATAAATATATTAATTTAAATTTATGTGTTTAGTGTCAAATTTATTTTATTAGAATTATTATAAATTAAGTCTTTTAATATTTTATATCTTTTTTACAATTAATAATGTTTAATATTGAGACATTTTTTTTATTCTGACAAAATTAAAGACATCTATTCTGTCAATGCAAAATAGATACCATTAAAAAAAATAACAATAAAAATTAAATATATTAAAAAAATTGTAATTATAAAAATTAAAAATAATTAAAAAAATAAATAGAAGGATTAAAAACTTATATAAAAACTAAAAAGTAAAGTAAGTAAAATTATAAAAATTAAAAATATTTTAATCATAATAAAAAAAAGCCGTGAAGTAATAATAGCAATTATATTATTTAATAACAAATTATTACATATGATGAGTTTATTTACTTTTAAGATAATTACTTTTAAAGTAATAGTAATAATAAGTTTTTTACTTGTTAATGATATCAAATAAAAAAAATTTATACCAATAGTACATGACCACTGACCAATAAGTCTTTGTGTATAATATTTTAAAATATTATTTAGATAAGATAATCTACTATACGTGATTATTGTCCTTCTGTCCTTCATAAAAAAGAAAAATTATTTTCTTTTTTATTTCTCGTTTAGGGAATAATTAAAGGCTACATATATGAGACATTTTTATAAATGACATATTAAAATAAAATTTATTTTATAGGAACTAAAACAAAACGTACGTATTACCTTATTTGTAATTATTAAAAATATATTTAATTCGAATTAAAGAGAGATGTCATTGCTCTAAACTCATTGGTTGAGAAATTGAAAAGTAAATTTCTTTTATAAAAAAATATCTTGTATTCCTCACAACAATTTTTAATGTGCTTTTTATGTAAAATATTGGTTATTGATTTTCAATTACTCCCTTAACAAAACCCAGAAAAACAAACATAAACTCTAATAAAATCTGGGTGTATTTATATCAAATAATTCGGTCAATAATGAGTAAGATGACCTTAATTAGATAGAAGGTATATCTGTACAGAAAGAGGGGGGGAAATCAGAGAGAATGATAATGGATTCAAGAAGACGGTTAAATGGAACGAATTATAGCCACAAATAAAGATAGTATTACAGATTTTATGTTCATAAGAGCATGAGCATCCTCTTAATTGCGAGTGTGATATTGAGGTATTAATACATCATAATATGGTTTAGCATTAAAGGAATAATTCTTTTTAATATAATATATTTTATATGCTTGAATATCAAAATTTAATTTATGTCTACACATGGAAACAACTTTTTATTGAATGATCACATGCTGGTGTATTAAATATTTTTTAGACTACGTACTATTTTTTCTGTTTCATTGTCCAGAACAGAGAGTCAGAAACAGAAACTATGCCAGGTATATTGATTTTACGTGTATATTATTATTATCTCCATCCAAAATTGGTTGACCTTTAAGAATTAAAAAAAAAAAAATCATACTAATTCACGCTTATATTTTTAACAAAGTCTTAAAAAAAACTTATTTTAATTTACCTTCACATAAATAATACTGCATTATCTTAAAATATTTAATAAAGCATATGTAAAATCAAAAAAAAAGAAAGAGTGACGATATTTTAATAGAATTATTTGGGTAAATTATTTATTACTTTTCGTAATGTGTGAAAAAAAACTTGGATGGTGCATGGGAGCATTCAACAGTGAGTTGTAAAATAAACTAAATGGATGATATGATGAAGAAGGAGGAAGGTGACAGATGAACTAAAGTTTGTACAGTGAATTAAATTGTTGGGGGGCCCAAAATGGTAAAAGGCAGGTCAAGGTGAGAGTCATGCAACCATAGAATGATAGATAGTATGGGCCATCTCTGAATGGGAGCTGTTCTTGGTTACAGCTAATATCTTCTTAAATTTCTCAATGTATTTATTAGCACCTGCTTGCATTAAATTCTTAGTGAATTACTATAAGAACAAGACTGCATTGGAAATAAAATAAAGCAACTTCGGTAAAAATGTGAATTTGAGAAAAGTTTAATTTTATAAAAATAACTTGTAAGATGAGAATTTTCAATTTTGCATCGAATTTGGGTAGTACAGATTCTGATGTGGCTGCAGGTTCTATCATGGCATCTCCAATGAATGAACAGGTTTCTCTCTCTTTCCGACGAGGGTAGAGGTGGATCTCCATGTTGTTAGACTATGGGATGATGAAGTGGTTGAAGATACTGATGAGGATTTGAACAAGTTACATCAAGCATTATTCAACCTCGTTCCTTTAGAGGTGGACCTAATAATTTTGCTTAATGAAGGTTTTATATTGGAATATAGGAGGGTTATTTTAGATTTGTGTGATTCGATTCTTATAAGCCAGATTTGGTGCTGTTATTTCAACTTCGTTAATTTTGGTATCGACTTGGTGTATATAATTGTTGGTGGTCAATGATACGAACATCATTTCCTAAACTTTAAATTTTAAATCTTAAGATATGAGACTAATTGTGAAGAAAAGATAGTCATTAGAAAAGAGAATGAATAGTAAATATCAAAAATTTGCATTTTTTGTAAGAGAGTGAAGTAGTATCTATAACATACAAAATATTGGAGGAGTGATCAAATGAACAAATGAAACACTAATTTTTATATATATATATTAATTAGTTTCAATTATAGATTATGCTCAATTCTCAATTTAGATAGATTGAGTTCTACTAATTTTTTCAAAGTTACAAGTATTATTTCCCAAGTCATTTTTGACTCTACAGTAAATGTTCTTTTACTGGACTCTTCAAGTCATTACCTGGATATTCTTTTAACAACAAATCTCTTCAGATTTAACCCAAGTAATTATCTAATAACAAGTCTCTTCAAATTCTACTCAAAGTATTTTTTTATCAATAAGTCTCTTTAGACTCAACTTTATAACAATGATTATAAAAGTTATTTAAATATTATGTTTGTCTCACTTGGATATTATACAACCAACTACAGAATAAGAAATCTTTATTATATAATAAAAGAAAGGAAGTCCGTGACTCTTTTCCCATCCAAAATAAGGGTACTTATGTAACTTTATCTTATCATAATTATTCTGAATTTTTTTTTAATTTAATAAATTCTAAATCTTTAATACTTCTGAACAGAAGAAAAATCCTTTCATACGTTCCCATCAAATTGTTTGCACTTTGTCTTTCACTCAGAGAAGCAATTACAAATATCTATTTCTTATGCATCAATTGCAGCTTTTCAATGCTAATTGATCTCACTATCTTCTAATTTTTAAAGCATTTTTCTTTTCAAAACTTCATTTTGATTGTCTCATTCCATCATACTCCCTATTTCTTAAAATACTCTTTCCATATATACATTGTCCACTTTCTGATCTGGGTACTTTTATATTTCTAATATGAGGATTCACACTTTCTCTATCAATCATAGGAAAATCAGTTTTAGGTAAGCCTATATGAAGTTTTAATTTTAAAGGTTGGTTGTTTCAATATTGATGTATAGTGAACATATTATTAAAAGTTTTTTTCCTTTTTACTTTCATATTCTTTTTAGCTGACATGACTCAGAGGTTTACATTACTAAAAGACATATAACTAGGAGAATTGACTAGAAAGTAAGAGTTCGAATAATAAAATTATAGAAGTTGGCAGAGTTTAAGAATCTGTTGCAAACAAATTTCTTGGAGATGATTCTAGTGGATGAAGAGTTTTTTTTTCCATAAATTATAACAATTATAAATTTCATTGTTGGATAGTGTAATGTTTTTGTTTTTGCTCTTGTTTGAAATTTTCATCTTCAACAAAAATTTATGATTAATAAGGATATTGTTTACAAAATCAATTAAATGAGTTAATGACCTTAGTAAAGACATTGATAAATTTTTCTGCATGTATGTTGTTTTTTAGAAGTTAATGTATTTTTTCCCTCTATTCTTTTAATTCTATTTACCTATTATAATTCAAATAATAATCTTATTTCAAAACAAATGAAATTAGTCTAATTCAAATAATACCCCTTTTATAAATATATTTATGTAATTCTTGGTTTTTTATTCATATTAATATATTAGCCTTTACTTAATAGCTTTTCCTTAATAATTATTAATTATTGATTATATTCTTGCATTTTTAATTGATGAAATCCTATTTAGTGTTGTTGGATTTTTTCAATTTGACCTTTTTATTTTGCTGCCAAATTATTACATGACCTAAAGTTTAATTTTTTCTTCTAATAATATTGTTTTAACATGAATGAAAAGTATTTATACATAACTTGAAACACTTTTTAACATGATTGATATTACTTTTTAAATTACTACAGAATTTTAGATGATTGATATTACAATTTTTTCACAAGTATTTATTATTGATAATATTTTTGTGTCAGCTCTGTTTTTGTTATATATATATGGGAATAGATATTAGCATTTCCTTGATAGATATTAGCCTTTTCTAGATATATTTCTTTAGCTCTTGATTTTTTATTCATATTAATATATTAGCCTTTATTTAATAGTTTTTCCTTAATAGTTATTAATTCTAGATTATATTTGCCATATAAGGAAATGGATATTAACCTTTCCTTAATATATTTTTTTAATTTTAGTTATTACTATTAATTAAGTAGATTTATATTACTAGGTTTTAAAATTGAGTAATTCTTATTTCCTTTTTATTTTAATTTTCTTTATTTATTTTTGAGTTGAAAAACATGACTGACCACACGTTTTTTCAACATAAAGCCATATTAGCACTGACAAATGAAAT